TTACTGCTCCCATTGTAGATGGACCTTAAGTTGCAAGCCGATCGCAAGCGTGTTGCGACAGCCAATCTGAGGCATTGATTTCAAAATGCAAGCTTCAGATTGGCTGTCGCAACAAGCTTGCGATCGGTTTGCAATTAATCGTAGAACCGGCTTAAGACGGCTAGACCAATGAGAATCTTATGTAAATTAGTATGGCGTCTTTATGCTGGCTGCTCATTGGTCTAGCCGCCTTATGCTGTGCTTGTGTTTTCTTATGCATTTCAGGTGCTCCAGGCCTTATTCCATTTTCCCTAGAAAACACAATAGAAATCTAGAGAATAATTAAACAATTCCAAATAGAATCCATTTCGAACAGTCCCATATTGGCTGCGTTCCGCAAAGCGCGTCATGCGCATGATTTATCCTTTTATCTTTGTTTGTCATTTGTTGAACAACAAGGCATAATGCGCATAATGCGCTTTGCGGAACGCAACCATTGACTGCACAAAAAGTGGCAATACTTGGCACTGCAAAAAAGTAGACAAATAAATCTTTCGCTATTATGGAAAAGCAGTAAAATGATTAAAAATATTAACATAATTTTTTCTAGTGGAAAAAAACAGGTAACGTCACACAATTGCATATTAAATAGAAAATTACTAAAGTCCCTAAATTTCTCTATTTGACAGCCAATCATATGGCATTGTATGTCTTGAGAGAAAACATTTAATGTAGAGCGCGCTGTTGACAGCGTACTTTCGCGCAGGAAATATTACGCATCATGCGCAATAGACTACTGCGCAACAGATTGTTACGAAACGGACATCAACGATACTAGCGCACTCTATGATAAATTTCCTTTCGGCTGTTTTAATTAAGGCCTGTTTGGACCATCTTGCGTAGTCACGTGACCTATCCACAGTTCGACCAATCATATTTCTGATATGAAAGACGCCATATTGCTGTTCTTCATAAAGTGACACGTCATTGTAAGTGCAAATCCGTTTGAATGAGGCTTAAAGCTTTTTGTTCTTCTTTTTTTTTATCCGTTTATATGAATCACAGTTTTCTATTGTTCTCTTACACATAAGTACCATCTCGAAGGATCAAATTTCCCTAATGTCTGACCAATAACAGTGCACATACGCACATTAATAACATTCCAATCTTTATATTACGGATATCGTATGGACAAAAGTATCGTAAAATTTCTATGTGATGCAATTTTTTTTTGCCTTCATATTCTTGTCTATCGCCGTCTATCGTCATACAAACGGAAACTAAAGAGCAGTTCAGATACCAATTATTCCGTTAATCAAGCACCAACTGGCACCAGTTTCTGACGTGAGAGGTGAACTTTTACGTACTTGTGTCCGTATCTTCTAAGCGAGTCGTCCACGAGACCATCGAGATAATTAGAAACAAGGCAAGTAGCAAAAGCTGCCTTTCTGTTTTCGGAAATAAAGTCCAGCGCACTTATGATTTCCTTAAAGTTACCATTTCCAAGGAGGTCAGAAATGCGTTCTCGCGCACGAATTCTTTTCTTCGAACATCTCGTGAATTACGCACGGTCGCGAGAAATGTCGAAACCTCAAATGTTTTCTCGATTAGATGAAGATGTTTACTAGGATATTCCGCACATCGTGAATGGTTATCCATTGAAAAGTTTTTCGTCATTGATAAAAATTGTACGTTACTATCAATATGTCGCTGTTTGACAGGAAGTCTCCCGAGACAGTTTGGAAGGTGTGGAGTTACAAGTGTGGATTTGGTTGGCGGTAGCACTTATAATTTATTACAAACAAAATAATGGAAAAAGAAACAGAAGTCATCTGTATCTCTTCCGATGATGAATCAGACTCGCAAAAGGTTTGACAAAACTATCAAAAGATCCTATTTATTGCTGCACTGAAATGCCCTAAAATTTTCTTTATCGCTTTCGCTAAATTTTATATACATTATACATATTTTGATACATATACAAATGAAATAAATAAAAAAAAATTATTTCTGCTAATAAAGAACAAGCCTAAAATTTTGCTAATAAAATGGATTTCTCGATCCCTAAAGGGATTTATGGGAATAACAGCTTAGTTTAAAAGAAAAAAAGAATTATAGGATTATAAGAAATTTATTTTCTTAAAACCCAAATGCTGAATTAAAAAATTTATTGTTGCAGGAAAACAAAACAGAAAAATTTGTAACGAATTCTGCAGAGACTAGTAATGGAGTCTTTGCAATTGCAAAGTCGGAAACTTTACTCAGCGATAATGAGAAAGCCGAGGAGAAAAATCTCAAACGAAAAATATATACAGAGAAAGACGAAATAACTTGTAATGTAGAAAAAAAGAAAAAGTTAGATGATGCTGATCAAGGCACATCTAAAAAAGTAATAAATAAGTCTGGCTTCTGTTCTGTGTATATACGTGAGATACATCCTGTTAAAACTAATTGTATAAACGCACTTCCAAATAAGAAGCAGGAAGTATTTAAAAAGGCACAATTGATTGTGAAGGAGAAGAAAAGAATATCATATGTTTCACATGACGTTTTTCCCTTGTTTATAAGTTTATGCTCACAAAAATGTCCACAGAGTGAGAGAACAGATATGGAAAAGATCATTGACAAGTTAAAAAGACATTATGAAAACATGGATCCAATTTATGCTGGATCAGAAAATTTTGTCACGTTTATAAATGAAAAGCGTGAGGCAATTATGAGTGACGACAAAAAAATATACGTATATATACAGGAAGTGGTGAACGAAATGAAGAGAAGGATTAATAGAAGTAACTCTCAAGCATCGCGAATTAATGAAATCTACGATGCAGTTCCTTCTACTTCCTATGCGGCAAACAAAGTACCAGTTAATAATGTGGCAGAATCAGATGATGATGATAGCGAGATCAGTGATGATAATGAAGAAAATGCAAATCCTGAGACGAAAAGAAAGATCAAGGCTATATTGCACACTATGAAAAAATGTGAGGCAGTTATAAAAAAATTAGAAGAAGAGGATGTTGATTTTAATGACGAGAATAATAGTACTTATATAAAGGAAACAAGGTATAAACAGAAAATGGTGGAACTGTATACTAAACTTTGTGAGCTAACGGGTGAAAATGCTGATGCAGGACGTGTATATTTGCGTCCTAAACATTTAAACGTAACTCGGATTGGTTCTGTTGATCAGGCAATAACGAATTTTATTAATTCTAAAATTACACGAAGAAATCAAATGAAAAAGATCGGAGCTCGTACGAATGATTTAATATTCCCTGATTACAGGGACATTTTGAAATGTGTTAATAGATGCAATGACAAAAAAAAATTAGGTTTAAGTGAAAACACATGCCAACAATTGGGTAAGATGCTTATCATAGTTTTAACTGTATTTATGAGCTTTTTTTATTTGTGTAATATATTTTGCTGTGCATTTATTTATTATTATACATATGGTTTTTATTGATATGTTTTGCAGCTGAGAAAGGTTTCAAAGAACTTGGAGAATACTTGCAACGCGTAAGGCGCAACGATTATTGGGACACCTTTTCTTTATATCTTGAAAATAAGGAAGATCCAGCTATAAAAGATAAAGATTTAGCGAAAAAACTTGCTAACAATCGTATCGATGGTGATAAACGGTTAGCTGCCGTATTTGCAAAATACGAACAAAAACAAGCGGAAATAACAGACCAGAATGACGAAGAAATAACTTCGGAGGAAGAAGAAAACGAAGACGAAGAAGAAAGTATTATAGATGATGATAAAAATGAATTATCTATAACAAGTGAAAATGATAGTGATATTCAAGAAAACAAAGACAAAACAATTAAAGAAGATAGATTACTTGTGGAAAAGACTAAACCTGTAAATATGGTAAATGTATATCGTGCTGTGGATAAACCTATTTCAAATAAAACTACAACAAATACAATACAAAAGAAGAAATGTAACGAAATTGTTGAAATTAAAGCTCGGAAAAAGAGCAACATCAATACGGCAGTGTCAAAAAATGAGATTAGGACAATTAACGAGAAGATAGTACATGAGCCATGCAGTAGTAATATGATCCTACAAAACGTTGTAAAAAATGTGGACGTCAAAACAAGGGCGCAAGAGGACTCACTACCAGCGGCTTCCATGGCGAACTGCACAAGTATATATATTAATAAGAATGAAGATATATAAAATTAAGCAAAAAATAGAAGAATCATATGAATATATTTTATATGTATGTTGTAGAGGATCTAGCGGTGGCCAAACCGAAAGATCTATCCAAAGTGATAACAGATCCTGCAAAAAAGAGGGTAACGAAGCATGCAGCAGATACAGTAACCAGGATAACAACCGAACTGACAACAGGTGATACAGCGGAGTTGACAACAAGAGATGCAGCGGAGTTGATAATAGATACCGTGGATTTGATGGCGAAAGACACAGCGGAATTGATAACAGGAGATCTAACGGAAACAATAATGGAAGAAGTAATAACGGATGAAATGGAGATAATAACGGAGACGGAGGTCATGGATGGAACACTCGAGAATATGCCAAATGACGAGCAACCTGAAGAGGAACAAAAAACGTTATTGCGATTGCGTTCATTCGCTAAAGCTCCCACGACCTGGGAGGACAGCCAGCACAAGACGGATAAGATCGCCCAAGGAAATGCGCCAAAGGTAACAAACCAAATTAAAGAAGTAGTCGATTTGACTAGTGAAACAACTGCCACCAAGCCACCTGTTATTACCAAGTGTTCTGTACAGCTTGGGAACAAAATAATTCCAATAACGAAGGCACGTCAAACAGTGCTTATACCTGCAAATAGGAATATAATTAGCGTTCAAAATATTACGAATAATTACCTGAAGGTAAATGCGCGAACGGGGAAGATCATAGCACCTGTGCGCGACATCGATGGATCCACGATAATCCGATTGCCATCCGTTCAAAGTACCAGTCGACAAAGCCAACCGCAGAGCGCCAAAGTATTCGCTTTCAAAGGAAACGAGATACTTCGAATTATACCCAATAAGTCGATTATCATACCTAAGAATTCGTCAGTGCAATCCGTCTCTAAGCAAACGGATGTGAGTTCGTCGACAACAAAATCCAAATGACTTAAACATATTGCAGGGACTGTACTATTAGATCATTGTTATGCAAAAAGCAGCGATGCTCCAATTAATTCGGCAAAGTGATCAATTTTTATGTTAAATACAGATATTCATATATGTCTATACAGAACATTTCTAGTTTAAGTCAATATATAAGTCAAATATATCTCAAAAAGAGGCACATTAATATAATTAATAAATTTTTTTAACGAAATTGTATTTTGTAATACATAAACGCCTTGTAACAAAATAATTACTCCTTTTCATATTCATTTAACGAAGATCCGGTTGAAGACAATTCAATATCAATTTAGCGAGATGGTAGTTTGAATCCAATAATTTCTCCACTATGTCAAAATGATCGATGTCTTGAAGTAAAAGATATTCCACGTTATCCACAATGGAAATCATTTTCTAAAACAATAAGATGACGATCTTAGTGCAACCTTCGGCGCAGATTCGCGCAGTAATATTTGATATGTAATAGTTTTTTAATTGTTTTTTTATCGCTGCATCAGAAACACGCATTTCATTTTTATCAAGTACAAAAAGTGTACGCTAACTCGACTATATAAACTATTTAAAAAGCAGACGAGACATTTAATTAGTACCTGAGCGTATTTACGCGATTCATCCACAAATGCTGGAGAATCGCAGTCACCTACAGTTACGGTAACTTTCAAGCCACTGATACGACGGCTTTTTGCTTCATTAAGGTCGATAATACTAAATGCCTTAATTACTTCGCTGAAAACAACAATGTACATTTGTTGTAAAAGAAATTATACATATTCCATTGAAGAGAGAAATTAAATGCTTACTCGGTCAATTTGAGATTTTCTCCATAACTGGTATCGATTACAGGTTTTATATTATAAATGCCGCCAATAAGTACGATTTCCTTTAATAATCCAAAATATCCTTGCTGCGTCATGCGTTTGATCCAATCGTCGTCGTGCAATAAACACCCGACCAAGTGCGCTCCGGCGCTATGTCCAGCGATGCACACGTATCTACATTTGTACATTATGCGTTATAAACAATACGTTTTGTAAAAGAATTTTGTATCTAATATATATGAGTACAGAGAAGATTGTAAAGAAGACTGTAGAGAAGATGTTAAACAACATACTTTGAGCCTGAATCAGCCGCATATTTCAATATCTGCGCGACCGCTGATTTTATCTCCGCTACTATATCTCCAAGTTTGACTGAAATATAAGAAAACGATATAATTCATCACATCATTTTAATAATAAGGTAATCTTTTAGTCTGAGAATTTCGGACATAAATGTAAAAGACAAATTGTAAAATTCCAAAGGGCATTTTCATAAATCTCTGTATCCAATTTCTCTATTAGCTATAACGCGCTTTAATGATTTTATGAAGTTTTAAATTGTTTAAACTAATAAATGAGACAAGGAAGATAATATGGTATAAGGTCATCTCAACTACTATATCTCCAAGTCTGACTGAAATGTAAAAAAACGATATGATTCATTATTTTAATAATAAGATAATCTTTTAAGTCTGAGAGTTTCGAATATAAATGTAAAAGACGAATTGTAAAATTCCAAAGAGCATTTTCGTAAATCTCAGTATCCAATTTCTCTATTAGCTACAATACGCTTTAATGATTTTATGAAGTTTCAAATTGTTTAAACTAATAAATGAGACAAGGAAGACAACATGATATAAAGTCTGATAAGAAGTATGATATAATAGAATTTTGTATGATCTCACCATTCGGACACAAATCGTATCCAACTGTTATTACTTTAATCTTATTCTTAACGAACAAGGGTACCGAGAACCCAGTGAGATCCTTGCTGAATTCCTGCCAATATCCGCCATGGATAAACACAAATATCGGTGCATCTGAAATATAAATTTTAATAACAGTTGTTTTAATGCGATAGATAAGAATGTGTAAAATATCAATTTGTTAGAAAGTAATTTAATTAAGTAATTCTTGCAGATCGTTAAAAAGAAACGTATGAGCAACGGAACGATTACAATAGAATAAAAATGGAATGGAAATGTTAATGTACTCGCGGCGAAAACAGTTTTTTAAATATATTTTATTCCATTTTTAAAACGAACAAATTATACGCGTATTATATAAATGCATATCTTGTTTCGAAGAAATAAGTAACTCAAAATTAGGTATTCTGTAGATTAGATAGGTACAATTTGGAAATGAAAGCTTTCACCTTAATTCACGGAAATAAATTCACGTTAATTGTTTATCGAAAACTCATAGAAATTTTTGTTGGATAAAGTCGATCTTTTTAAGCTCTTTTTTTTTTACTTTCTCCTCTGAAAAACATAATTATGAAAGTATAGAAATATGGAATAAATTCCATGGAACAAAAAGTCGTGGAAATAAATTTTTGTTGAGAATTAAAATAGTTGGAGAGAAGTTTGACGTTTCTAGAAATTATCTTCTATTAATCAAATTGTTATTTATACGTACCTTTCGGTAAATCGGTGCCATATATGTCGTACTTTGCGCGCTCCGTAGGACCATATGGCACGTTAAGTTCGCATTTAACAGTTTTCCGAACCGTTTCCGTAACTGCAACAAGGAAGACCTTCAGGCGATCACATGATACATCTGACACGCCTTTCTTATAGCGCGTAGTAATTGTAAGCTCAAAGAAATCTTAACGAAGACATCGCAATTACACATCACACCGTTTCTATGTCCATGGTTGCTTCAAAAGTGACAAAAATTGAGTTTCTCATATATTTGATGGATCTGTTTATCTAACTTATTCATGGCATGTGGTAATAACTTCGAAAATCATTTATAATATTTTTTTTAGTTGCGTTACTTTTGAAGCAAGAATTCCTAATTCGAGAAAGACTCGATTAACTTTAACTGATCGATTAAGTCTCTCAACCGTGATATGACCAATTCTGGTCAATTCTGCTTAACGACAAATGTCGTTGGTCAATTCCGATGGAATAATCGGCCGGTTAAAATGATTAGATTAATCGAATACGATGAAATTGGCCCTTGAGCATCTCTCTTACCTTCTTCGCAGAATTTATTGAACCGCTCGAGCAGCTCCTCAGATTTATATCGTTTGCTCCATTCACTCGGGGTGTACAGTCGCTCGTGCTCCTTCAAAATCAAATAAAGTGTCAAATAAGCCACAAGTTTAAATTTAACGTTATTCAGAAACAAGCATGATCACACGGAATTTCGTCGAGATTACGTACAGACATAGCCATCTTTTATCAACTGTTTGACTTGTCAGGGAATGTAATCGCCAGTGATCGCTGCTTGTTACTCACAGCAATGCCCGTTGGACACTGCTGCTGTTTTCTTTAGATATCCGATACACTGCATTTTCTTGGCTTTGCCTGTCAGTGTGTGCACTACTATAATTATATTTCAAGTACTATATTAATGACGAAGGCGGAGTTGGCAGTCAAATACATTCACGACATAGCATAAAGATATGCTGTTTTGTCCCAGTTATCGTATTCGTTATCGCAACATTATGTAAATTCTTTTTTAATTTACTGCAGTTATATAACTCGCATATATGTTTTATTAGTCGAATGTTTAATTTTTAAAATATAAGTTTAAATGCTGCAAGAAATTGATTTTTTTTTAATAAAATGAATGGAATGTTTCCAATAAATAGCTTATTACGCAAGACAATTTTATGAATTGTAGATTACGCAAGGTTGATGATTATATGATGATAGCGGCGTAGAGAACTGCGCTGTTCGGGAAAAACAGAGTTTAATGTTGCAAATAGTTCTGCTGTCTTTTTAAATGAATTTAACACTTCAGGAATAGGCCATCTAACTTTTTGACATTCAAAATATTTTAATTTTAAAAAATTATTTCCGCTGCTTTTTATTTCATTTATATCACACTTTTATATTTTCATAATCATATTTTTTTTACTTTATATAAGAAAACGTGACAACGAATAAAATGTACATATTTTGTTGAAATATGAATATATAACAATATACATATATTGTATATATATTTAAATAAATAAATATTTATATGTGCGCGTGTGTATTTTTATGGTAAGCGAATTTCTTATTTTCACAATTCAAAGTTTAGACATGATTTATTATATTATCCTTTTAATATTCAAGTATCATACGTATACATACAATTGTAGTCACTTTAGAATCTTAACTTATATATAAATATTAATAATAGATTTATACATACGACATACATGTTGTCCTACTGCGTTTGATATTTCAAGTTTTTCTTTCAATTTGCTTATCGTGAATAAAACATACATGCGTTACGTATTTTTTTACGAAATATAGAATGAATAAAAATAATAACTCAAATAAATAAAATTGTTCATACGAATAAAAGTTATTATATATAGTTATTATATATTATATAATAGTAAAAAATAATTATCTTTATTGTAAAACTTATCACAAGTTTTTTTTTAAATATACGTTTTAAAATGTGTTTAAAATATGCTTAAAACAAATATTTATGTTTGGTTATTCAACAGTTTGTTAATTGAACATTTATGTTGAAAGTAATATAATGCTTAATTATATGTTTAAAAATATGTTTTAATTATAAACTTTAAAATATGTAACAAGTTTGTTTGTTATGTTGTTGCAATAATGGAGATAATATCAATAGGATAATTATAAAAAATATTTTATTACATATGGAAAGCTGTTATTGGATTTTTTTTTAACAGTTATACATAGTTAATACGCGAATAATAATAATAATAAATATCTCCAAAAATAATAAAATATTATTATTATTATTCGTTTATCGGATAGTCACGTGAAGACACGTACGCATCTCATTGTGCGAAGGTAACGAGAGAAGACTACAGGAGAGACCACGAGGTTGCGGAGGTGGAAAACCAGAAAAACCGGCCCTCTCTCCTTTCTTTCTCTCTTAATCTTTCTCTCTGTCCGTTCCTCACACACGTCGCTCGCCCTCCGTCTCTAAGAAAGAGAGAGAAAAAGGAAGAGAGAAGTTACAGGTACCCGTACCAGCTGATGTATCGAGAATCGTGCCGCGTCGACGCCTACCCGCAGGCCGCAGGTAAGAGAAACCCGTCGCAGTCAAAAATTCTTGAGCTGATTCATAGAAATGCCCGACCGACCAACCGACCGGCCAACGTTCACAACGGTTTGTGTCGCATTACCGAAATTCCATTTGAAAAACTGATAATCTCAAATGCAGCTCATCCATTTTAAGCAATTTAAGAGTTCCGGATATTTAAGAAAAGTACCGTATTCCACGAGAATGTATATTGAGATTTAAAAAAAAAATAGATTTCAACGAGCAGAAATATATTCTCCTTCTGCATTTAAAAGACAAAATTGCAAATGTTACACATACATATACATGTATGCAAATGTTAATGTTATACATATGCACGTGTGCGAGCTTGCGTGTGCTTGTGTATGAAAACAAAAACGAGAAATCTGCAGTAGCACGATTGTTTGCTAAATACTTCTAGCGTTAAAAATATCTCTACTAACTTCTTGTTTTTTTCTTTGTTTTTTTTTAATCTGTACTTTATCACATTACTTTATCATATTACACGTACACACAAAAAAAACATCCACAGTAAATAAATACTCTATTCAATAGCGAGATATAATACATCATATCAGAAATGTTTTCTCTTATAAGAGTTTCAGATTTCGTTAAAATAAATATTACGATATTCATATAATTTTAGAAATTTATAAAATATATGTGCACGAGAGAGAGAGAGAGAGAGAGAGAGAGAGAGAGAGAGAGAAAGAGAGAGATAAAAAATTATTAATTTTGTACGTACATATTTTACCACACAGATACAAATGTAGGATAATATAGTTAACAAAGGTTCGACGTTCATTCGGCTTGCGCTTCTTTTTTTTTTTCAAGACAAACCAACTCTCAGTATGTTGAAATACCACGAGGATCACCGACCTCGAATTTTGAAGAGGACCGGGGACCGTAGTTGTCGTATCATAAACGTTGATTAGATTAATACGAAAGTCGTGGAGGGCGGAAACTTCTTTCCTCCTCAGAATTTAATCACAGGAAATTGAAATTGAAACTATAAAATACGAAGTACGTTTAGTATATAAGCTTAAAAATAGTTTTCGTCAAACGCCAGCATGCTCTAGTCTCTAATGTTTTCGCGAGAACAGAATCGAGCAAAAACCGCTACTCCTTCCATTATTCATTGAAGTTTGCAATTCTAATGTAATCTGGAGTTGATTACTTTACATCAATATATACTTATACATACATACATAAATTAAAATTTTTGCACAAATTAGGATATTTTAAAAATCAAGATGTTTAAAAATCGTAGTTCGAGATTTATAATAAGAAATTTCTGAAGTTTATCTAATCTAATGATTTAACGATAATGACAATGTAATGGACCCCTCGCGACGAGACAATTAAGTGATAATATAGTCATAGTCAACTGCAAAATAATAAGACAAAGTAATTAAAGCTATTTCGATAAATGAGTACACATAATTTGAAATGTGTAAAACTTCCATGCAAACAGAAAAGATTTTCGGATCTGTTAGAAAACAAGTATGTAAGCTGATATATCAACTCCGCTTTATCTCTCTATATCTGTGGCTTGTAACATTCCCTTTGTCCACGTCTGAATCACAGGATCGACATTCAAAGATCAGAAGCGCGTGTCCTGTCGTTAACACGCATAGACACGAAGGCGTGCTACACGTTGAAATAGCCGCCGGAATTCTTGACGATTCTTGATGGCCCTTCTTGGCTTACGCGCGCCTTACTATCGGCTCTCGCATGCAACGAGGAATCAACGGCGATGGGTTAATTTATTTGACCCACCGAGTACGCGCGACAGCAATTAGTGCTGAGCGTGACGTTGAATAAGGTATCTTTTTACACGCGTTGCGCTGATGATAATGAGGAAATATGCGCGCGACCATGACACTAGATATGAGACGAGAGCAGATGCGATAGGACCTTCCTTAACCCGGCCTATTTCTAAAGGAACACAGTAATAACAACATGAAGCGAATAAATGATAGGACAATGACGTCGTTAAATAAGTACACAACAAGAGATAATATTGTTATTAGATTAGATAGAGGGTTATATGAGAGTTAAAGAGTTGCGAAAGATCTCATGCCAAAAGAAATAAAAACAGTGTTTAAAAAAGCTAGGTGTAATGCATATATGCATATATGCATATATTATGGAATGTATTAGCTAAATAAATTATTTGAGATCTGAATGTTGCGAACATCTTTATTATCTTTATTAATATAAAAATATTATCGGAATGGATTACAGAAATGTCACTTCAGTTTAAGTGTTACGAAATATTTTTTATTTTTTCGCTTCTCTGAAGACACAAAGTAATGTCTTAAATGTCTAATTTTAAATGCTTTAAGACATTTAATAATTAATCAATTAATGAAAAAAATAAGAAATATATATATCTTTCACTTTTATCATATCTAGAAATACGATATCACTATGTACTATGTGGAATTTTTATTATAGAAAGTTACTGTTTAAAATTACTATTTACGTGAGAAAATAACGTAACAAAATTGTGAAGAAATTGTTAGTTATAACAGTTTCCCTGCTCGTTCGTTTTAATTCTATTAATATTATACATATATAATATTTAGATTTTAATGAATTAAATAATGAGAATGTATGCAGGCTAACGGGATAGGTACATACAGGTATGAGAATATTTAATTCTTGAAATATGACTAATTGTAAGAATGGACTTGGTCAATTTCTTATATGTTCTCATACGTTAATAAATTATAATAATATAATGTATTCAAAATGTTTTCAGAAAGCATAAGCATTTTCTTGTTTCATAATAAAGATGTATAAATAATTAACTTACTAAAAATTTGATTCTTCAGAGTTTATTAATGAGTAAAAATAATATGAAAATGAAAATCTTTTCATACTTTTAACTATTCAATAAAAATTAACAGTTATAAAAAACAATAATTTTTCAGTAACATCTCTTTAAAATAAAAGTGAAGGAAAATTTGAGTCAAGCAAAGAAAATGAAAAAAAAGATCCACGATCCTGCCAGGATTCGAACCTGGAATCTTCTGATCCGTAGTCAGACGCGTTATCCGTTGCGCCACAGGACCGTCCTTGAGCGTATAGAAGCTGTGACAAGTATAAAAATGATTCATATTCATTACTTTGTTATGAAACATAAGATAATAAATTATTATTGCCACTTATAACAAAATCTAGCAAGTTCACTGATGTATTCCGTCGAGCTTTGTTTGCATAGAATCATACTTAAGGTAGCCGTAAAGTCGTGCTTACGCAACTAAATTCTTGTTATTACAAATAAATGTTTTCAGTGTTTTCACTAATATCGCATCATACAATTTATCATACAATTTATTGGATTATTATAAAAAATAATAATTGATCACTATTTCTAGATATTCGTAAATTTACAATAAAATATATTGGTAAATAGATGAATTTTTAATTATAATACTATAAATAAAACATAGATAGATAGTGAAATTCCTTTCATTAAGCAAAAAAGAGACCAAAACAAATATTTAAATTAATATCAATTAAAGAATGTAGCCGGATGTTTCTTAAACTCGGAAATAGTTACCTAAATTTTTTAAAAGTCATTTATTAATTACATATCCTATATTATTAATTGTTCTATAATTTATTTTAGTATTTTACATTATTATATACAAATTTAAATTTGCTCAATATTTTCTAAAAGAAATAAGGAAAATTTTAAAAAATGGATATAGATAATTTATTATATGACTGCATGAGTTTTATTTTCTCACTGCTATAAAAATTATCTAAATGACTTAAATATGTATACTCGGGTTAAACTCATCGTGTCTGAGCTACACGCTACAAGCACTTGCGAAATCACACGTAGCGATATTGCGTGTATCGATTGTAAATTAAATAATCTTAATATTATGATTTTTATATCTCGCGCGGGGATCAGATTACGTGTATCAATAAGAACGGCTGCAAGGTCCCCAGATGATTAATTGCGACAGGCTATAATTTACCTTGTCTATACTATACTATAATTGTTTTTCACGATTAATAGATATCGCCACCTTATCTGATATCAATATTGAATTCAGTGCACAATTGTATTGTAGTACCAGTTATGTGTCGCGCAAAGAGAGGATAAGAGCCGCTCAAACAAAAGTTGTAAGATTTTTACGAGAAATGTTGAAATTAGCGAACTTTAATAGTAAACTTATAAAACTTTAAATTAAAATTGCAGTTTATCGCTAGCCTTTTCTTAAGTGCATCGAAAGGAATGTTATACATAATAACAAATTGTATACGTACGTAATAATTGAAGCAATCGTTTCGCGTGAACATTCAATTCTCGTAAAATGCGACAGACGCGAAAAAAAAAAGAAATACGCCTCCCAATAATGTCATGGCACGGATGTGTAAAACGATTATTTTGTCCGACCGGCTTCGAAAATTGAATTCGGCTGTGCTCTCAACCGGTTTGGAATTCCTTGGTCTTTGAGTCTTTTATGGCTCTTTCTCGGTGCTACCAGAGTTAAAGATCCTTTTTCGTGGAACAGCACGCTGATTCATTCGAATCCGTGCCTGGTAAAATCCTATACCCGAAACGGCGGCGGCGACGATAACGAGATGACGATATACGCGAGTTCTTCTATTGGCGAATTCTACGAGATGACTCAAATATAGCTGGCTGTTACTTTAACGTCTGACGCGCTTTCTCGCAACACGATAGGACTGTCTCAGGCAAGATAACGTTATCCTGCTGACGTTGCTCGCGGACGATATGGATATACGAACACGATGTCTCTCGCCGAGAGTACCCCTATCCGTTACTCGGTCCTCGATAGCCTAAGCGGTAATCCGTTAAATATAGATTTAGCGAGAATAATTAATCAGCGCGAAGAGGTGCAGGTTTCATCACACTAGTTCTATATTTAGAGCACGCGCCCGACAGTGTACGATAATCATGGAATGATTTACGATTCGGCGCTCAGGATGAGCGGAATTAGCGCACTATGTAATTTGTGTAATATGATTATATAATGATTGATATCCTCAAATTAATGAGATAGATATTACTGCAATAATATATATATTGGAGTACGCTTAAATATTCATCAACCGCAAATAAAGCGAGACCTCGTGATATGTTGTGATTTCAAATGTATTGGTTAACGATGTAAAAGTATACAGATTTTTTTTTCTCAATGCATGGATATCACGATATTTTCAAAATAAATAGATCAATTATTAAATTAATTATTAGTTCACTATTATTTTCGACATAAAAATTAGTTGAATATTTTGATGAATTATAACTCGAGTTTCTTCTACAAAAATGTTTCCTTTTGCCATCAACGAACAGGTAGAGAAAAATCTTTAGTTTCTTACAGTTTCAGTTCGACCTGTTCTGGACAAAAGAAAAGCACTTTTTGAAGGTTTCCCAGTAGGAAAATCAAGGACGCACACAAGAAGAGAAAGCGATTTAGTAGACCCTTCAAATACCTGAGTTCAGAAATGCGATTCCGTTGCTCATTTCAAATACCGCGTATTGCATGTAATATTATTGTTACTATCGGTAATAGCGTATTCGCGCTATAAGATCCGCGTACGTCTCACCGAGTAAATGTCATGGCATAAGTAAACGGCGTGAGCCGCGTGAGAGAGATTTGCGGCCACGTTTGGATAAAGATATTATCATTGCGTCATGCGAACGTCACGCTTTGTCACGCAATGTTGCGCGCGTAAAAAGAAGATATAGCAGTACAGTTTTTCGCCCGTTTCATGGGAATTACGTCAGAAATCAGAAGTAATTCTGTGTCACTGACCCAAAGAAGGAAATGTTAAAGTAATTGTGCATTTTTTACCGGCTCTTCGAGGATGTGGTACGGTATGATTTCTGCTTACATTTCGTTCACTTTCACTGCCTCACACAGGATCAATAGGTTCTGCAAATTTATAAATTTATAATTTTAGTTATAAATATTATCTATTTCAATAAAATAAGCTTTTTTATAATTTGAAAGATGTAAGATCGGACTTTGTGAGAAAATCTATACATGAAATATATAAATATATTTAAGAATCAATTTGTTTGAGAATTTGATTTGCATTTAATTGTTTTGATTCGCCATCTTAGAATTGAATAATATATTGTTTTAACTAGTGTGGATGGAACAAAATTATTTTTTCGTAATTAGCGTCAATAGCATCAGCTGATGTTGATGCAAAATAGTCTCAGGCTCAATTGAATTTCGATATGTTGTATGCGAAATTAATTCTGGATTAAAAAGTTTCTAGAAGCGTTAAGTGAAGTTTTAAGTGTTTAGAATTTTACTTATGTTAGCATAATTCTATCAATAATAAAGATAGAACTGACTGAGATAGGAGATACAGAAGATACCATATACCTAATACTGAAAATACATTCTCCCTAATAGCTTCTTTCTCTAATAATAAGATAGTGAAAAAGGTAGAATTAATGATTTAGCGCTGATTGCGATTGGATGCAGCCGGACCAAAGTGCTTCGAGAATCCCACGCTCCCGCGGCATCGGTAGCCAGTCGCCATGGTAACAACCATGAGAGAGTCATGTCGCCACTCGCCGGGCGCTCGGCGCTGCCCGAGCGAACGGCAATGCCCGAGGCCCGCCGATGTCTGCCGAACGGGCCACGAGACGAAAAACCGAGAGCGGCCGAGCGTGCGCCGATCGTAATAAAGCGAGAGCCTACCTGGCGCGAAGGGGGAGCGAGGAGGACGGTGAGCGCTTAGGAGGGTGAGCAGAAGAGTAGTCGGTGTTGTAGGTGGGGACGGAGCCTCCCTGCCGCTCCGCAGAAGCATCGAGCAGTTCTCGGTCCCCGACCGGCCTGTAAGCCCACTAGGCGGAGAAGGAGGGAATCGCGCTGCGCGCGGGCGAGACGGAGAGGACGATAGAGGGGGAGGACTAGAGAGAGAAAGAGAGGCAAGGAAAAGGGAGCAGCGCTCGTGGAACGCGCCGTGTCCTCGCGTGCTTGTGTCGCGTACGGCGTCTCGAGCGCAGCCATTACGACAGAGCCGCTCGGTGACGCTCGGTAACGTTGTGTAGTAACGCGAGCGCGACGATAGCGTGGCCCGTTTGTTGGTGTACGCGTTCGTGAACGCCAGACCGCCGACGCCGTCCGCCGCGTAGTACGGGCGTAGCAGAGCGTGAGCACGTGTGCGCACGCGAGACAGAACGAATTAACGCAACGCCGATCGGCCGCCGCCGCCGCCGCTGCTGCTGCCGCCGCTGCTGCTCGTCGCTACCGAGGGGTTGGCGTTACGCGAGTGAGAACGAGGAAGCGCGGAAGCTGCCGAGTACGACTCGAACGCGCACGACGGGTGTCTCGCGCTGTTGTGAAGACTGTACAAAACGAATTTGGTTTGTGACCGGACCGGTTGTGGACGCATCGGACGCATCGCGGTACGCGTGTGCGTGCGACTTTACGCCGAGGGCGAGAAAAACGATAGATAAAGAAATTAGAGGGTAAACGACACATAAGCCGCCACCATGTTTGACGTGTTCGGCTCCGTGAAGGGGCTGCTCAAGCTCGACTCCGTGTGCATCGACAACAATGTGTTCCGGCTACACTACAAGGCCACGGTGATCGGACTGATCATTTTCTCCCTGCTGGTGACCTCCCGGCAGTATATCGGCGACCCGATCGACTGTATCGTCGACGACATACCGCTACACGTGATGGACACCTACTGCTGGATCTATTCGACCTTCACGATCCCTGATCGGACCGGCATCGTCGGCAAGGACCTGGTGCAGCCGGGGGTCGCCTCGCACGTTGAGGGCGAGGACGAGATCAAGTATCACAAGTACTATCAGTGGGTCTGCTTCACCCTCTTCTTCCAGGCGATCCTCTTCTACGTTCCGCGCTACCTGTGGAAGACGTGGGAGGGTGGCAGGATCAAGATGCTGGTGCTGGACCTCAATTGTCCGGTGGTCAGCGACGATGGTAAGAGCGACCGGCGTAAATTGCTGGTCGACTACTTCACCTCGAACCTGCATTCGCAGAACTTCTACGCGTACCGCTTCTTCCTGTGCGAGATACTGAACTTCGTCAACGTGGTCGGCCAGATCTTCTTCATAGACTTCTTCCTGGACGGCGAGTTCACCACGTACGGCTCCGACGTGATCAAGTTCACGGAGATGGAGCCCGAGGACCGTATCGATCCCATGTCCAAGGTGTTCCCGAAGGTAACGAAGTGCACATTCCACAAGTATGGTGCGTCCGGCTCGGTGCAGAAGTTCGACGGGCTCTGCGTGCTGCCGCTCAACATCGTCAACGAGAAGATCTACGTGTTCCTCTGGTTCTGGTTCATCATCCTGTCGATCCTGAGCGGCCTCAGCTTGCTCTATCGCGCGGCAGTGATAGTCGGCCCGAAACTACGTATGCTGCTGCTGCGGGCGCGCTCGCGTCTCTCGCCGCAGGACCAGATCAAGACCATCAGCGACAAGTGTCAGATCGGCGATTGGTTTGTCTTGTATCAGCTTGGTAAGAACATCGATCCATTGGTTTACAAGCAGCTCGTCGCTGATCTCGCGATCAAGCTTCAAGGCAAGGAGAACGTGTAACGTGCCAAGCGGTCGGAGAGGACCTCTTCAGGAAGCGCTCCCAGACAAGTCCTCCGGAAGGTTTCTTATCTGTCTCCCCGAGCGATACTCTGTTCGACGTAGGGGAGAAGCGAACGGTAGGATCGTCTCCAGATTAGAGACGAGAGTAAGAGATAGACACTGAGTGCGAGAGTGAAAGAGAGGGGGGGGGGGGACAGTCCGATATCGATATCGCGGATGTAAAATGGGCGAGTGGAAAAATTTTAGAGTTTCTAGGCTGAATTGCACCAATGACTGTCTGATTTAGGACTCGGTGATTCGGCTATCTTTTCTACATTATATTTTGTTCATAATCAAGATCAAACTGTATTATAATTAGTTCTAAATCGATCCCTTGGATTTGAATCACTCCAGGGATGCTCTGAATTAATTTTCGATCAGCATTAATTATAAACAATTAGCAATTTGCGAACGTGAACTTGTTTAGAATTCGTATGTCGATAAAGAAGCGAGACTTAGACATTCGAGATAAGTTGATCGCTTGATTGAGAATCTGAATTAATAAAAAGCCTCGTTTATTTCCGATTTCCAAGTTAATTTAATATATGTGTAGATATAATTAGCTAATTATAGCTAATTATAAGTAATTAACGACTGTTACTTCTTTTTATCGACGTGGAATTTAGATCGGTTTCTTCTGCTCTCTCCCGATACGAATTCAGACAGGATCTCGCGTCATCAGTCGTGCCGTAAGTCAGCATTAGCGTTGGTGCAATTGGACCCTGGGTAGTTAGGCCAAGATATATATTTTTTTTTTATGTCTCGCCGTTCCTCTTTCGCGCGAGTACACGCTTCCCATTCGACGTCGGGGTTTGCGGTGAAGACAAAGCGCGCAGTCCGCCGCCCGTCTCCTTGCCTCACCTCGTCTTCGCGTCGAACTCTCCTCGTCTTCGAATCCTTTCACCTGCGGAGAGTTTCCCATCGATTTTATATACGCCGCCCATTCCACTTGTTTTCTACATTTGTCCGCTTCCTTCATTTTACCTCGCGCTTACTCCTATAGATTTCCCCGTGCAAGAATTCGCGACCTTAACGTCGATCACGCGTCGGACTCTTACCATTCGTTGTTTATTTATTTGATTTTAGCGAATTGCGTGTTGTTACATGGCGAGTCTATTTTTGGATTCTTATGAATGCATTTTGTTTTTTCTTTTTCTTTGTTTAAACTATTCTATATCCTTTTTTTTTTTCGGTGTATGCGAACGTTGTCGTAATGTCATATCAATTAATTATGACTTTCTTCGATTTCGTGAAAAAAGTTCGAGGTGAATTTAAGAAGAATGGGAATTATACTCTATTATTTTTATGAATGAAACTTCCGACCGAGATAAGCAGTAGAATGAAGATTTTTGCTTTAACGTATACATTTACGAGGCAGTTTGAGTCATCATCCGATCATTTTCGCCATGACGCACAGTTAATTGTAATCACGCAACTCCAGGCAGCTGCAGGCCTCTTCGCGGATCAGATCGATTGTTTACATTCATCGTGCAATTAACGGCGGTCAATCGATAATCGAGAAATTATCGGCGAAGTAAGCATTCCCTCGTCAAATTGGCACGCGAAGCCGAGCTAGACGCGAAGACCGCGGCGAAGTTTGTTGGCCTGCCGTCGTCACCGTTATCGTTTTCATCCGCGCGCGCGTGTACTTCGCGAGCGGAGCCCGCACGCAACGCACGGATGAAGCTCCCCCTCCCCTCCCCTCCCCTCCCCCTCTTCCCTCGTCACGAGCGTCATCCCACGATTGCTCACGCGGAGAATAAGAGAAGAAAAAAATCCGCGCCTTCCGCGAAGCGCCTCGCCGTCGCGCATACGTTCCTCGCGCTTGCATGCCTACGGAGTCTCTCTCGCGTAGTCCCGGAGCGCGAACCCGTACGTCCGCGAGGAAGGTGTGCGCGGAACGGAACGACGATCTGCCTCGTAGGAATATGCGCGGGAACGAAGAAAATATGCGGGAAGGAGCAGCCGGCATGCATGTTGCCCGCCAGCGGGGTTCCCATTGTCACACCGCTCGGTGCGAACGACGCGCCGTATGCGCGTCCCCCTCCCCCCTCCCCCACCCCCCTCCTCCTTCGCGCATATTTTCGAGCTTCGCTGTAACGAAACGATCGTTTCCGAAGACAGGATTTGTCCTTCGACGAAAACGAGGAGAGAGAAAGAGAAAGAAAGAGAAACACCTGTGAAAGAGCTTAAAAAAAAAAAAGAAATAAGAAGAAAACAAAGAGAGTTGCTCCCGGCAAGCTCTCGGGAAGCCTTCGTTCGCAGACTTGGAACGTGTGATAATGCGGGGGACGGCGTTCGTGTTGCTATCTCAGCAGCCTATTTCTGCCTCAGCTGTTCTCATTTTCACATATTTTTTTTCCCCCCCTTTCTTCTTTTCTCGTTCTATCGGAGCTGAGAGCGTGTCATGTCTCTCGAGTTCGGCGCGCGGGATCAAAGGCCAGCAACAACCTGTAATGCGTAAAGCAGGGACCGGACGTGCCTTTCGCGGAGAGATTCATCTCGCCGTGGGGAGTTCGCGGGCGCGTCGTGAAAGAGATTCTCAGCATCCGGCGCGCTCGTACCGGTCCGCACCGGTTTCTCGGTTCTTGCCGCGACCCCGTGGGCTCCCCTCGATCGCTTTCACACGAGGGGAAACGATCAGCGCTCGCCGCCCCCCCGAACCTAATCTAACTTTTGACTTCTTTACGCTACCGATCACCTTGATCTTATATCCTAGAAGCGTAAGAGTACGTGTGTACATTGTAGGTTGTTGTGTGTGTAGAAAGAAAGAGAGAGAGAGAGAGAGAGAGAGAAAAAATTCACTTGTACATGTATGTGAGCACATCGCGAGAATGAGAAAGAGAAGGAAGAGAGTGAGAGAGGGAGAGCCGTGTGTGCGTGATGAATGTGTGTGTATTTGCGTAAATGCATAGATATTAACGCGTGCAGTGTCTTCTAAGTGTTTCGTCATTCCACGCACAAAAAAAGACGTGCCCGCGATTTTGTACGCGAGTACCGAGAAATTAGATTATAGACTAGGCTATACTATCAACGCGCGCGCTATATCTCGCGCGTCGCAGTTCTTTTAATACATAATTTAAAAAATTTAAAAAAATGTATATTTTCGAGGGGACCAAGTTGTAACGTCATAGATTATTATTATTATTCTTCGCCAATTTCTTTTTATAATACGGACTTACAATGTAAAAGTGATGCGTCGAGGGACCAAGATGTAATACTACAAATGTATTTGTACGATTTTTCTCTTTTGTTCTTTTTTTTTTTTAATGGTATGTAAGACTGGTACCATGAATCGGCGGTTAGCATTATAATATCGCGGCTTCAAAACGCAGCGTCAAAAATGTGCTGCGCGTAAGAAAAGACACCCTACATTGTTTATACTAAGTAATTTATACGCGATAATAATTATGTGAACGATGAAATGCAGTTTGCTTTCAGTTCACTCGTCCATCGACATCACATGCGTTTCAAGTGATAGTTTAGAATATTTCAATACGTAGAGATTTACTAGGATAAATAAAAAAAAAACGAGAGAGAACGCTACCTTTTACCGTTCGTATATTACACACATAAACTACGAGAGCGCGAACGTTAACTTTACTATCCCACTGACACGTGTTCACGTGAAACATCTAATATCGCGTTACTAGCCGAGCCAAGAGCACGCCGAGCTCGCTTGTATTATATTCGACAGAGTTTGAAAACGTGAGGACTCGCGGTGCCGTAGTCAGCGATACTTTCCGCCTCGTCAGATATATGCGAGCGTGGAAAATTAACGGCCCGCTGATTTGACGACGCTTAAGACGATTCTCCAATTTTTTCAAGATAACGGTATACCGAGATAACGCTTATGGATTTGAAATCATACAGGATGTGAATAGCAGTGCGCGACACTATAAAGCCTCGCGATCTGTTTGCTAGTAAACTGATACGATTGATCTATACTCATTCGGCAATTCATGTTTCCTTATCTCGATCTCATATCGATACAATTGTATATAAAAATGACATATCATTATTTATAACATCTATTTATCTGTGTACACGATAGAATCAAGATTTCCTTGGAGAGAAACTCAAATTCCCTTAAATACAGTCTACAATTTGCTTATAGTTTAAACAGAAAGAAATTGTTAGAAGCCCCGCCAGTCGGTTATCAGTGTGGATTTAACGATATGTAATACAAACATTCCGATATTACGGTGCGCCTTTTGTCTTTTGACACGCGTGAAAACGGTCATTTTCAGCAATAAATGCGTGTGTGGAACATACGAATGAGTAGTGCTGGGTAGCGTTAAGGAATTAGAGAGGAAGAAAAGCGCGCGACGCGATTTTATATATTATATTATTCGCTTCTTTGCCATCTAGAAACATTTCTACGAGAGATCTATGCTCAAAGTAAGACTGCCAGGTAATCGAAACACTCCATGTCGCCGTGATTTTTTTGTAATCACCTTTATAGATGTATACGCGAGATAGAATTATTATTAACGACGTACGCAGCGCTGCTGTCCGGTATCATATCGCGTTACTTTCTCCGAGGCTTCAACCTGTCACTCTTCACTTGGAGAACGCTAGGATTCGCATAATACGTCATGTTGTATGCTATCTCTCTCTTTTTTTCGTCGGCAGGCGTTCTTTCCTTCCGCCTCGCTTCATTTCCGATCCCCTCGCGGCAATCATGATTATTCTTACGGTCAGCATTGTCTTCATCAATTTCAATGTTAGGATTTCCTAGAAAATTGACCGCGACACTCGCCATGTGTGTTACGCCTAACAAGTGCCTGGCTAGCGTTAGATACAAAGTACATTCATTCCTTTCCATGTAACTGATCAACATTCCAGAAAAAGACTGCGGTTGTTTCCGAACGAACAAATCAACTTTTTTTTATTGTACACGTTCCTTTTCACTTCTTCACGTGAAAGTTATATTGTTTGAAATTCACGAAATTCTCTCGTAATTGAGAGATTTTGAAATTAATAAAATCGTGGAAATAAAATTCCAGAGGAAGAAAAAAGGGGTGTAATTTTCGCGAGAAAAAAAAATACGCCAACATTCCGTTGATCAAGCTTGATTAAAGAAAATTACGTTGGAACTCAAGCTGATCGAGCGATGTTTATCTGAAACTGCAGTTACGCACGATCGAGTGGGGACGGATATCCACGAGTCGAGTCGAGATATGCATAGTTTGTAACGTAATCGCACGCCGTGTAACTAACCAAAAGTGCCTGCATCCTGCCAAGCGTAGATATAAAGAACTCTCGCTTCCTTCGTGATTTTACGAAACGGCGCTTCCAGCGGTAGGTGCATCGTGACGAGTAGATAGGCTATCACACGCTGTCGATATGCATATTACTTTGCCCGATTTCTATTTTATAACCGAAAAAGAGAAAAAAAGATTTCTCGGACGAGTTGTAACAAGCACGCGTTCTCGCGACTACTGCAACAGTGATAAGACGGGAAAATAAATAAATAAATAAATATATATATATATATAGAATAAATATATAGTATCTCTCTATGGAGAGATACGCGAAGTAGATAGATGAATAGTGTAGCATTCATTGGAATGTGTCGACGAGAAGCGCGCACAATAATATCGATAGATAGGTGAGACACATGTTGCCTTCCTTTATACATTTATAGGATTTCATTTCTTTTTTCTCCGTCATTAATGTTATTTATAAGAATAGGTAGGAGTAGGAGAGGTAAATATGCTATCTGCGATATGACGATAGGGCTTAAGAAAACGGTAGCTGTACATCACGTACACGTCGTCGGCGTTGAACGACGAGTGTCGTCACGGGTGTTTGTTATCCGTGATCGGTGTAATTCCGGTGAGTCTTCTCTTCTCCGACAGACGCCGAACGATAATTTGGCTTCGCGCCCGTCGCCGTCGTCATCGTCGCAAGGACCATAGAGGAGATCCACTTCCCGGTCTCGATCTCGCACCGAAATTACGCCGGTCCGATCGTCCCAATTAAGAATAATGTAACGAGAAAAAAAAAAGGGCACCGTGCTTACCGGCACACACTCGAAGAACAAGGAACACGTCGCCGCATCCGGGTCGCGTAGGAAATTGTATTCTTATATGTATCTTTTACTTATTACCGTCTCTTCGCTCTTCGACCGCGCGTGATTCGAATGTGCGGCCAGAGAACACTGCCCTCCTAAGGAATGAGAATGTTGTATATGTATATATAGTATATATACATATATATACGCATATATTTTAATACAAAATGTTTTTTCTTGTGAAGTTAAACTAATAAATATCAGCGATTAAGCAACGATCAAGTTTGTCTTAAATTCGTTTTTTTTTTCCATCTTCGATGACCTCGTTTCTCTGCTGCCGTTTCGCGCAATGAGCGCGCGACTTTTGTGGGTCAATGGTAAGTAAGGGTGTGGGTGTAGAAGGAAAACTTGTTTCTGGAATTCACTATTTAAGCGATTAAGATAAAACTAAGTAAACATGTCTTGTTTGGTTAATTGCATGTGATAATTAAGCTCCTTCACTGTAACCGTCAGGTTTCGACAAGTCTGAAGTAGCTGTCAACTTTAGAAAAATATATACGGAGAATCTATTTTCTTATCTGTCGCAATCTTTACAAATTTAACATTAAAGAACAGAACAGATAAATAGAGATAAGTTAAAAACGAAAGTACTGATGAT